AAATAGGAATCAGTTATTAACTTTTAAACGAGAATAAAAGTGACTCTTAAATCGAAAGAAACTAGCTTATAAAAGCACGTTTTTTTTAAAGACGATTTTTTAAGTTTTACTATACACATACAAGTAAAATCAATGATCCCCGGGGCGGGGCCAATTTTTACCCCAGGCTCCTTATTTGAACAAACTTGGTAGACACCCATTAGAAGATATTTCATGCTAAATATCTTAGCTCTTTGGGTTTTTCAAAAGCAGAAGTTTTTACTATATACATAAAGGGAAAAACAATGACCCCTGACGCAGGGCCAATTTTGACCCCAGGGCTTTTATTTGAACAAACTTGGTAGACACTCACTAGAAGATGTTTCATGAATAATGTCTAAGCTCTAGCTTTTTGGGTTTTTCAAAAGAGAATTTTTAAAGATTTTACTATATACAAATAAGGAAAATCAATGACCCCTCAGGCAGGCCAATTCTAAGCCCTGGTCTTAAAAATTATTTGAACAAATTTGGTAGACACTGACTAGACGATGTTTCATGCCAAAGATTTCAGATCTAGCTTTTTCTGTTTTTTAAAAGAAGATTTTTTATGTTTTTTCTTTTGGTTGCCAAGGCATGGAATTAAATTCATTGAATAATTTTTAAAGTTGACTATCAATAGAACATTCCTGTGAAGTTTGGATGAAATTGGGTTAGCGGTTTATGAGGAGATGTCGTTTCAAGTTAAAGTTTACGGACAGACGGACAGACAGATGGTTAAGGAGAGATATGCCTCTGCTCTGGTCAATTTTCATCAAAGATTTAGAATTGTATTTAGGCTCCAATATTGATAGTAGTGTAAATATGTAGCATGAACTGAGCGAATAATTATTAATCTAGTGCTACAAAATAAAATCACAATATTCTTAAATGCAATTATCTAATTTTTCTTGGGATACTTATCTGATTAATATAAATATTTCTTGGGGTTTCTTAACCTTTTGATTAGATATCAACTTATCAAATATCCACAAATAATAAAATGCCATATTATACAATCTCAAACTAATTCTTAAATCATCTGAATTATATATTTCAAGAAACAAACAATATTCACAATTACTTTTAAGCAAAAACATATATTATATCACATGGCCTAAATTTCATGACTGTACATCAAAGGACAAGAAAGTAGGTCACATGTCAAAATCTAGGTCAGCTGATATTAAATTTAATTTTACATCTCAAACTGTGCACATCGTCCAAATTACATGGCTGTAAATTAAAGGACAAGAAAGTAGGTCAATTACACATAACTTTGGTAACTTTGTCACTAAGGGCAGGGCAAAATTTTGACCCAAGGTTAAATTCAAACAATCTTGATACAGGTCCACCAGATAATGTTTAATGTAAAAGGATCAATCCTGGCAAGTTTAGTTGAATTTTAACAAGAAGATTTTTTAAATTCAATTTATAATCTACATAACAGACAAACATACACACATACAGGTGAATCGCTATATGCCAACGCATCGCAGATGCTGCTGTGGCATAAAAATGATAATACTATGAAATCCCTAATGTATGTACTTGAAAGATAACATATTGCAAAACTTGCAAATACTGAAGATAAAATAGATAATTATTTATTGAAACACCTTATGCAGAATTAAAGAGAACTTAAAATAACGAAAAATATTGGTTACTTTAACCTACTTTAACCTTGCAGTTAAATTATTAAATCACTAAAAAAAACAAGTAAGACAAATTTGCTGCAAGTTCAGTAACATTTAATAAAATACACAAATCTATCTTAAAGTATGGCCTAATGGAAAAATTAGCTTAAGAAAATGTAATGAAATGTTTAACAATATTCTGACAGATGAATGACAACATGCAGAAAAATAACAGACAAAATAGCACCATGTGACAACATAGAAAAGGACAAAGAAAATTAAAACCAACATCTGAGAAGAGGAAAAAGCTCGAAAAGCAGGCAGCATTTCAATATCAATAAAATATCTGGGAGGTTGTAAGTCAAGAAAATACAAACCTTTCACATTGGAACAATTCTTGCTGGGAACAACAAGCCGCTGAGTATTCACCACAGACATGATGGCAACAATTATGTTTAAATTTGTGGCACTTACAAAATTAAAATATTTCTGCACAAGCATTATCCCTTTTTGTAATAGTTAACAATTTGTCAGTGTTTTTTTAGACAATCTGCTAAGTGAACCTGTGTCCATTTTATTCTAATTTATCACTGACAAAATTTGAACTATAGACTTGCTTAAATGTTTGAATGGAATCTATGAAATGAAATTGTCCCCCAGAAGTCTGAAACTCCTATGACATGCAATACAGCCCTCAATACTAATAAAAGCACAGCAGTGTAACCTGGGAAGGTTTAATGAAGAAAGTTTTACCTGATTTTTACAAGTCTTTGTTAACAATATAATGTGAAATAACTGTTAATAGTTACAATTCACTGCCTTTACAAGCTTGTTCTTCAATTAACTGCTACTTTCCATTCACAATTTAGGTTCAAAAATATTTATTCAATAAACTGTGGTGGGATTTGCGCCATAAACTGTTGTACTGGATAAGCTGCCTTGTGTTCCAGGAAATAAACTTGTTTAAAACAGCTTTTTACCATTCACAAAATCAGTTTCCAATAGCATTATCAGGAAATATTGCAAGATTGCATTTCAAACAAATGAAATTAATGTAATGTTCATGTTAAAGGAATTAATACTGCCAGTTCAAAAGATTTATCTGTATTTGGCATGTTTGCAATATAAATGATACTAAACCAATTTAATATACAGTTAAACCTCGTTCGCTCGAACTTGAATTGCTCAAATACCTCCCTTCTCTCGAACTCATATCGCACAGTTCCCGCAAAATTCTATATAATATATATTGTTCGACCTCGGATCGCTCGAACACCGAACGCTCGAACCTGATCTCTGGTCCCTTCGGCAGAAATTTAGTGAAAATCACACCTTTTCGGTCGAACACAAAAGGACAACAAAAGTTGCTGGTCGACATATTCTGAATAAGTAACAGTCAGCGACACATGTTTTTAACACCTCGTGATTGTAATAAAGGCAATTAAGGTTAATAGACAAAAAAATTAAAGGTGTTATAACCGATTTGTTTGTTATGATAATACTGTTTATTTGCCGTCTTTAGTAACGATAAAAAAATTGACTAGCGTGAAATAAGTGAAATGTGCAAAAGTCAATAAATAAATGACTTTTATTTCGACGGCTTTAATTACAACCGTAGTTCATGTAACGTCAATTTGTTTATTATTATAGAATGATACTTGTATGTGTGTTTATTTAATAATTGAATGACTACAAATAGATGCTGCTATATTATGTTGTTTTTTTAATATTTTATTACTTCATTGCTTAAAATAAAATGTATCTCATAATAAAGATATAAATAAATTTTGAATATGGTTCAACAAGTTTGGAAAATAAATGTCCAATCAAACTCAACCAATGACCATATGCATGAATATAGATTAACACAGTGTACCGTTAATACTCATTTGTAAACACTGGAATAATAATTCTAAATATTTACAAGAAATGATGTATTCGACAAACTGATACACTGTCAAACAAGTATGTTGACGTATTTATCATTCGACCGATGTAAGCTGGAAAACCTGTAGGCGATAATAGTTCAACCTCGGTTGGCTCGAACTACCAATCTCTTGAACAAATTTGCACGGGCCCTCCGAGTTCGAGTGAACGAAGTTCGACTGTACAATTCATTTCTGTAAGATACAAGTTAGTATATCATTCTTAAATAAGTCAACTTCAATATCAGTTTCAAAAGTTTTCACTTTAAGAAACTAAACTATGCCATTGACCTTTTAGCCTTCGGGGCTCAAACCCCTAAACTCTGGAGACAATTAGGCTGGACTACAGATAATAAAAATACAACATTAATGACCAAAACTGGTCATTATTTTGTAAATGTTTGGGGAGAATCTTATGCCTGACTGTCTTCCATTATCTCGACTAGATCTCATGCGGATAATTCTATCCCCGTTCATTTCATGGATAAGACAAGTAAAGTGATTTCTTCAGCTAAAATGCAAATGTAATTGCAAGGGTACAGCCATTTCAATTTCCATGATGCTTCAATGGTTAAATGGAGATGTATTAAATATTGATCAACATTAAAAGATTCCTTACTTAAACTAATACAAATTAAGCCTGCAACTAGTTCTCTGTATAAAGCATGCAAGCCTTACTTTTACTATTCTTAAATTCATATAATTACAGGATTGTCACTGAAATCTTGGAAGAGCTTTCACATGTTTTTGTGTCTTTAAATATTAAGAAAAGGGTAACTGGCCAGGTTAAAACATATATTTATCTAAAACTTTTGTCTTAATATACAGATTATCTTTTCATTAAAACAAAGTTTTCAATGGGAAATCAAAAATATTTAAATGTAAGGGTAAATTATATTAGAATGGTTAAATATTGGTAATAATAACCATGATAACCTTGTACATATATCAACTATTGTATCATATACTGATAATAAAAAAACATGCAATTATATGTAAATCTTTTTAAATGAATAGAATAAAATGGTGATTTTAAATTTAATACCCAAATTGTAAGTATAAATATTATCATTTAAATTTGTGACAATTTCTGACAATCATTCCTATAGCAGAATAGGTATACAACACTAATGTAAATACATCAATGATTTATTATGATCAAAACACCTGAAAGTTTTTCTCAGTGAAATAGACTCAAATGACAGAAAATTTATGGAGATATTATGGTCTTACAGTGTTGAAGCTTCTATCCCTTTAAATGACAGGGTCAAACAAGAACAAAGACATTGGATTAATGTTTGGTGGGAAATGGCATAACTTTGAAACACTGTTATACATTACCAGTAATAGAGTATAATGAAGGTCCCAGAACCAGTAAACACATAAACACTTGTATCATTCTTCAGTTCCCAGAGCACACTAGAACCCTGCATGGGTCTCATAAGGTCAGATCATCAAAGCATCTGAAAATACAACAAATATCATACATGAGAGCATTACATTATATCCGTAATTACATATGCAATACATAAATATACTTATTATCTTACAGTAAAGAGTATATCTTAGCAATGTTTATTAGTTACTATTTGCATTTTAATTTTAACAGTATAGAGACATTAAATAGAAACCATACTGAACAGGACAAAACTAAAAATAAATTGCAGCAGACTCGGTTTCATTGAACATGTGTTCAACCACACCTACAAGCACTGGCTAAAGCAGACACACAACCTTTCAACATTAAAAGGTATTTAACTTAAAATCAAACAATATCCTCAAACTTGAATAAAGTAAAATAAGATTTTTTAAACAATGGAATTGAAATTAAAGAGAACAGTTTTAAATACAGCCATGGACTTAAGTGAAGAAAATTTTCAATGAAAGTGCAATTTGCACTGCAGTGATATTTACCTGGTAAGACATTGCTATTGAAAACAATTACCCTTACAAGACTAGTTTAGACAAAGTGAGGGTTCTGTAATCAAGAATTCAAAATTGCTTTCCCAGTATTAGAAACTCTATTACACTAGATTAATTAGAAGTGATAGTAGAAGACATTCTTTGCAGGCTGTCTTTAAACATATATTCTCAGCAGGCTTTTATAAATTTCAATTAGACAAGATCTTCAGAAAATCAGACAAAGAAATCTTTAAAGTTGGTTCTTAGGCCTTAAAATAAAATACTGTTTACTTGCTACTTCTGACTATTGAGCAATCTAAAATCATCAGGGTTAGAAAAAAACAAAACATTTTATTCTTTCTGTTCTGACCTATGCAAACTTTCCAAGCAAGATTACTGAAAGGGACCATGAAAGGAACTAAAGAACAGGTAAAACAGTAAACACTAATATTTGTAAACACTGAGAAAATAAAATGATATATTACAAAACTAATATGTATTTTTTTGACTTTGCTCTAAATTGTGTATGTTTATGGTGTGTGACAAAATTTACCTACCAACCAAACCAAAATAGTATGGTTTGAAATAGTCAACAATTTCTTATTGACTGCCTAAGTGAATTCTAAAATAATTAATCTATTCTTTTATTTAAGAAGTCAATATTGATGATGGTGATAATACTTGAAAGATTCTAATAATTCAGGAATAGTGATATCCTTCAAAAACAATGACAGCAAAAACAAAATGTTCAAAATAAGTTGTATTGAGACTGTTACAAATAAACATCTTTAACCTTTGGGAGCAAGTGATGTTTGCCATATTTATATAATTATATGTGTATATATAATTGTACCAATATTTTCTGAAGAGATGGACAGAAATACAATGTTAGTGAGAATGTCAGGAACAATTCTAACCTCTAAAATAATTGCTTATAACTATTTTTTTTCTCTTTCAGCACACTTCTATTATTGTTTTATCATGTACAATAATAAGTCTTCTGGTGTCCCTCTCTTACAATCAAATCTAAGAGTAATTACAGTAATGTATTTTGCTCAGCATGGTAGTTGCATTTCTCTAATTATGTTTTTTCTCTACCTTGGTTCCCAGTACAAAGCTTCATGTTCAATGATTAGTTACCATAGAAACACAACCAGTGATTAAGAATGACTATGATCATATATGTAAATATTTCAGTAGATCTTTGGTGATGCCTTGAGGTGATAAAAGTTTTAAAAAATAAAATGTTGCTTCCCTAAAACATTACTCAGAACATGAGTAACTTCACAAATGCATTTTTAACCCTCACCAGCTTGAATGGGCTTGTCCTGTTTTTAATCTGAAACATTAGGCAATTATGAGCTTATGATAATATTTGGCAACTATGAGCTTACGATAATATTAGGGAACTTTGAGCTTATGATATAAGGCCACTATGGGCTAGTGATAATATTAGGCAACCAAGAGCTTATGCTACATTAAGCAATTATGGACTTATGATAACATTAGGCAACTATGAGCTTATGATAATATAAGGCAATTATGAGCTTATGATAACATTAGGCAACTATGAGTTTATGATATTAGGCAACTATGGGCTAATGATAATATTAGGCAACTATGGGCTTATGATAACATTAGGCAACTATGAGCTTATGATAACATTAATTTTGGCAACTATGAGCTTATGATAACATTAATTTTGGCATTTATGAACTTATGATAACATTAATTTTGGCAACTATGAGCTCATGATGACATGAAGTAATTATTGGCTTTTTAACATCAGGCAACAATAAATAATTATTGGCAATTTTGCATGAGGAATAGAATATCTGACTACAGCAAAATTCATTTCAATGGTATCCATATAATATCCTTCTCCTATAAATGACTGTGAAGTAGTTATCCATCAGTTTTACATGGTTTTGATGAAGTACCAGGAAATTGCTATAACAGCATGACAAGAGTTATAGGGTGCTAATTGTCATGGTCAAGATGTACCAATCATTATAATGATAATGGATAAATGGCATCATCCATGCTACATTCATCATGACAGAATATATACATAAACCTGCTATAACATTCAATCATTTAGTGATATAATACTTCCTTGTGCAAGTACATGTAGATTGTGTCTGTTGCTATAAGAGAATACAAGAGGTGTAAGTATTAGTATGATGGAGGGTCAGGGTCAGTATTATGGTTATTATTCCAGCCTGACTGGTATATTAGTATTCTGGAAAAAAAATCTTTGGTACAATTTACTAAAGATTTAGACCATACAGATAATTCTCTTAGAATCTCCAAAGGAATACAATATATAACATCAGTTACACAATTTACCACATCTTCCTAAGTGCAGAAGGAAGCATGGATTTACATTAAAATTGGAAATGCTTGTTATCATGTTCTTGCTGATCAAATACAAGCAAAACAGAATGTTGTTACACAGTCATTATACCAGAGCCCCCATGAGGTATTTTAGCTGGATAAAATTTAATGTGCAAGTTTAGAAACTAAATATTGACAAAAATCTTTCTAGCATTTAATAAATCATCTTTATGTTTTAATGACATTTGGAAATTTTTTAAATATGTAAAACCAAAAGCCTTTGTTGAGAAAATTTTCCCAACAATACATAAAGACCTTAAACATCCATATGTAGCAATAAGTTATGGTGGCTGATTTCCACATGTTGTGTTTTCGAAAAATGACAAAATACGACAAAAGAATGGCAACCATATGACACATAAAATCTGTTGTGTACTTGCATTATTACAAGTTCATCTATCATAGTTTAATTTTTTTCGCATTGTTGTATTTTGACTTTTTTGCATTGTTGAGATTTTCGCTTTTTAGCATTGTCGTATTTTTAATGGACAGTCACGTTATAATGAATGTAAACCAGTTGGAAAACATTCACCAATTTTAACCCAGGGGCTTTTATTTGAACAAACTTGGTAGACACTCACTAGAAGATATTTCATGCTTAGTATCTAAACTCTAGCTCTTTGGGGTTTTTATAAGAAGATTTTTAAATTTTACTATACACATATAAGGTAAGTCAATGACACCGGGGCGGGCCAATTTTAACCCCAGGGCCCTTATTTGAACAAACTTGGTGGACACCCATTAGAAGATGTTTCAAGCTTAATATTTAAGCTCTAGCTCTTAGGGTTTTTTAAAAGAAGATTTTTAAGTTTTTACTATACATAAAGGGAAAAACAATGACCCCCTGGGGCGGTGGCCAATTTTGACCCCAGGGCTTTTATTTGAACAAACTTGGTAGACACCCACTAGAAGATGTTTCAAGCTTAATTTCTAAGCTCTAGCTATGTGTGTTTTCTAAAAGAAGATTTTTTAACTTTTTACTATATACAAATAAGGAAAATCAATGACCCCAGGGGCAGGGCCAATTCTGACCCCAGGGCTTTTATTTTGGTACACACTGACTAGACGATGTTTCATGCCAATATTTAAGCTCTAGCTCTTAGGGTTTTTTAAAAGAAGATTTTTTAAAGTTTTTACTATATACATAAAGGGAAAAACAATGACCCCATGGGGCGAGGCCAATTTAGACCCCAGCGCTTTGAATTGAACAAACTTGGTAGACACTGACTAGATGATGTTTCATGCCAATTATATTTAAGCTCTAGCTCTTTCGGTTTTTAAAAGAAGATTTCTTAAGCTTTTCTTTCGGTTGCTATGGCAACCAGAGTTCTGCATCAAATTAAAATCTTTGAACAATTTTAAAGTTGGCTACCAAAGAAACATTCCTGTGAAGTTCGGATGAAATTGGCTTTGCGGTTTAAGAGGAGATGTTGTTTAAAGTACGGACAGACACCGGACAAAAAGCGATCACAAAAGCTCACCATGTCACTGTGTTACAGGTGAGCTAAAAATCAGTCTCTCTTATTACTGCTGGAAGACCAAATATTTCTATAAGCTTGATAATTTGAGAATGAATTTCAATATTTTCTCACTGACTGATTTTCATATCTCTAGATAGTCCATTGATTTAGGAATCTGGAGTAATATGACACCAAGATTTGCTTCTGACATAGGGGCAATAATTATATCAACACTGTAGGAGAATTACAAATAAACTGGCCAGACTACAGACATATATATATATATATATATATATATATATATATCGCTTATTCTCAATAAAACACAGCATCTGGTGTTACACTCAGGGTAGCTCTTATACAAAGGTTTTTCTTGAGGTCAAATTGTATTTAGAAAGGTCAGACTACCTGACTTTGTCTAATAAGGACTCTCTCAGTTTTACATTTTTATCTGGTATTTTTCTTTTACAAGTGCAATTAAATGTAACATTATATGTTATTTTGGTTTTGGAGTGATATATGTGGATATATTACCTGTCAAGATTTTATATCACCCAAGCCGTTAGGTGAGGGTGATATTTAATCTTGGCAGGACAATATATCCACATATATCACTCCAAAACCAAAATAATAATTTTATTATCCTTCCATTGCGGAGTTAAGATGTTTAAATAAATCATTGCTACTTCAAATGAAACGTCGAA